CACTCTTGCCTTCATAATGCCAGCTGAAGTTGTTGCATGCCTCTTAAAAAGCATGTGTCTGTCGGGGAGAGGCTGGATTGGAAGCTGATTCATGAAAAAAATGGCGTAGCAACTGAACTTCAGTGCAGAAACATCTTCTGCTCAGATAGCTCTCAGTCAGGTTCTTTTTCTTTTTTTCCGTGTTGCCTCAATGGCTATTTCTGCTTTGGAGCATGTCACTATAGTAACAGCTTACATGTTGAGACCTCGACTTGACAATCTGCAGTCAGGCACACTGACCCGAGAATGCATTTGCTAGCAAGTGCCCTTCCCCTTCTGAGAAAGCAGAAGGCATCTTGCTAAGGCTTCCTCACTGTTCACAGGATCAGTCTGTGTTGCTGCGATATATTTTTTGCCTCTTTTCTTTTTTTTCTACTGCTCGGCACTCTTTCCCTCTGCTCTTACACCTTCCCCTTTAACCACTGTGGAGCAGACAGGGAGCCGTGGCTGCTTTGCGACCTCGGCATGCGCGTGGACAGTGAGGCCGCGTGCCCAGCGATGGGGAGCAGGAGGGGAGGGTGGTGTCTGCCCTGTCCCACTTCTCCACCAGTGAGCTCAGGTGGCATCACCTGCCCTTAGGAACAGGAAAGCCACACTTCCAGCTGTCCTCCAGCACAGCCACGTCCTCTTCCAGACGCTCTCATCGGCTGTAGCAGAAAGAGTGAAGGGCCAAGTGCTTGTCAAGAGGGAAGTGATTGCCGAGTGCTTTATTGAAAGATAAACTTGCACAATTAGGAGTAAATTCTCTGTTAGTTTAGATAAAGATTTGACCAATGTTTTTCTGCTTACAAGAGGCTGGGAAGTGGCCTATGACATTTGCTCGTTGCTTAATTTCAAGAAGTCTTTTTCCTTGGTGAAGTCTCTTGGAAGGTCCTTTACCATTCATGTAATAAGATGTGGTGCTAATGACTTGAACGGTACGTGTTCTAACAGCAGTGAAATGGAAGAAGCCAAAACTACCTTAACAAATACGGTTCATTTAACTAAAAGAGGCAGACTGAGCAGCAGGTGGAAGGGTTAAACAAAAGGAAAAAAGATTATAAAAGTTTGCGGCTTTGGCTTCACTACAAATGGCTCTCTTGCAGACTTTATAGCATTAGTGTTGCTTCTCATAAACCTTGAAACCATTCATCCATTTAGAAAGATTAAATTGGTTAGTCATCCAGAACATAAAACATACACATCCATTTTGTCTGTTACCCTAAACCATCTGAAGTATAATAAATGCAGTTGGTGCCATTAAACCAAAGCACTGAGTATTAATGATGGCCTCAGTTGTGGTATTTAGAGTTTGCCAGCTCTTGTGTTTCTGATAGTATATTCATCTGTTGTTGCTCAGGGACAGTAAGAGCAGAGTCTTTGAGTTGGAAAACTCAGCTATAATGTATAACGTGAGGGGCTTAGAGAAAACATCTTGGTATTAAAGCAGGAAAAATTGTAGAAATTTTACGTTTTTTGTTATTCTTAGAAGGTCAAAGTTAAGAGGCACAAACTTCATTTACGCTACCTTACTATATTTATAATAGTCTGTTACAGAGTTTACAAAGACAGGTTTGTTTGGTTTTCTAGTTACAGATGAAGCTATTACTATTTAAAGTTCTGTTCTGTCACTTAAACAAGCTAGACAAAAATGGCCAGACTCTTCTACAGCAAGAATTTGTAGATTTGGCACTTGGTCAGGAAGCAGGTTCATGATTAAAAGAAAAAATTTACAGTTGATTTAGCAGCGTTTTTTCTTGGTTTAATATTAGGATTTCAGAAGTAGTACTCTTTCCCAGAATTAAGCAAATTTGCAATGGTTGCTTCAGAATACAAAGAAATTTAATTCCTGCTGCTTTGAAATATGTAAGACATTATCTCAAACGCAGGGATTTCCAGTGTGCTGGAAAAAACATTTACATGTTTTTTAGTTACTACATACAGTGCCTTTAATCAGAGCATCCAGCTTAACAGCATTAAGACTGGGAAGCAAATCCTATCCGAGTTCCAGTTTCCATGCTGGAAATGCCAGCTCATTCCTGTAGGAAACAGGACTCAAGGTCATGTATCAGCTACCATTCAGTGCAAAGCAGACTGCCAGTGATTCTCAAGCATATGCTTGAGTACCAGCAACTTCTGTGGACCACAGTGGGGTACTCAAAATGAGATATGTACTGACTCAAGTCTACTCACAACGAGCACGAAAGCGCTCCCCCCCGTCACTCCCCACATTTGCAGCCCCAGGCAGAGGCTGCTCGGGAGGATGAGAGTAATTCCTGAGTCCAGCAGGTTCTGGATCAGACACTGTGCTTTGGTTTAGTTTGCGTTTTTTTTTTCTGAAATGTTTCTGGTGGGAAAAAAAAAAAAAAAAAAAAAAAAAAAAGGTAACAAGTCTCCCCCATACCCTCAACATTTGTCTTTTACTACAAATACAAATTGCAAAACTACCAGGAGCGAGAGAGGTGATCTGAAAGAGGCAGAACCTCATAAATTGTTTATGTGGGAAAGGCTGTCTTTCCTTTTCTCTAACTGATGGCATGCCAAGTTTATTTTACAGTATTTACAGCAAGTTTTGTTTGTTTTGATACTCTTTGTATGTTGTTAGGGAAAAGGCAAAAGAAAATCCCCAGGAAGTTTATAGTTTCTGATGAGACAGAGTTTAGGCTTTCATTTTCTTTCTAGTCCTATACATTTCACTAGGGGTGTAATATATAAGGGGATATGAGATTACAATCGGATGAGTTATTACTGAGCTGTCATTTATTTTCTCTGTATGAATTTGGTACTTAAGGAAGGCCTCAGACCAGCAGGCTAAGGAAGTGAAATTGTTATTTCACTCTGAGAGCAGATACAGGGCGGGCAGGAACAACACTGGTTTCTCCTTTCTGCGTCTCATCTCCAACCTTGGCACATCTGGGAGCAGGAAGAACGACCTGTCTGCCTGTTTAGTGGAGGCCCAGACAGATGACAAGGAGGAAAATTTTATCTGTGACGGAGTGGTCCTTGGTGTGGCTGTCCAGGCAGCAGGTTGTCTGTGCCAGGGCTGACGTGCCTGCCAGCTCCAGCACCCGACTCTGGAGGCAACGTGCTCTGTGAGGAAGAGGAGGCTCAGGTCTCCTTCAGCAGACAGCCAAACAGCCCTGCCCAACAGACAGCCACCACGATACCTGCAGGCCCCAATGCTTGAACACTGACACCAATGCCAGTCTGGCTGTTAAATTTAGGGAGTTCTTGTTAACAAACCAGATACCCTGGTTTTAATGGGTAAAGCGCCATCCACAGTGTGAGGGCCCCCAGGTTTTGATCCTCAGCTGTGAGGAAACTCCTGGGTTTAAGTGAGAGATGGTCTATTATTAAATCACGAAATGCTGGAGAGGGAATGACTATTGCCCATCTCTTCCAACCCAAGAACTAGAGGGTATCAGGTGAGTCTACCGGGTGGTATCAGGTCTACCAGGCACCCTCTAAGTAACTGGAAGAGAGAACCAGTGGTGGCTGATAATCACACAGGGAAGTGCAGGAGGTGGAATGATGGTTCCTAGGTGTCTGCTTGGATCTCATTTCCATCCTCAGTCACGGCTTACGCAGGAGGAAGTGTTTCCTTGATTTACAGCATTTTTAACGAGAGCATCCTACCCTGAGTCTGCAGCGTAGGTCATCAGCTGGTACGGAGCATCCTTCCAGGGAGGCAGGTACTGCTCTTGTAAGCTTGTTGCACTGAAAGGGGAATAGAGGTGTTTGGTTTTAATTCCAAAGCCTCGATCGTTTGAACCAAACTTCTGAATGCATTTCAGGGGCTTGGCTTATGGTAGGAGTTGGGAAATAAGTGATTAATGGTATATTTTATGTGCCATGACAAATTGTCTTAACCTCTCCCTAACCTTTTCTGGGTAGACACAATGTCTTTTCTCTGTGTGGAGGAAACATTCATTAGTAAGTGCCATGTTTGACTGTCTGGGGATGAAGCATGATTGCCAGATGTTGGAAGCTGTTCCTATAGAGCTGGGAAGGGATTTTTGTAAGGGCAGTCTGCCTCGCTGACCCCCTTTCAGCCCTGCTAATGGAGCAGCCATCCCTTCCTCCCTGGCAATTCCCGTAGCAGGATGATATACCCAAGATGTATATGATAGCTGTATAGACATGGCCTCCTTTGCAAGTGTTGACGTGATGTATTCACCATCAAGCAGGGAAGAATATTTCAGAGTCAGAAAGTCTCTCTAAACAAAGTTCATACCAGGAGATGCTGGCACAACTAGTCACTGTTTAGTTTACACCTGTCAGAAGCAGGCAGCCTCTCAACTCCTATGTTTGGGTGAGTGTATCCATCATATTTATCTTTTATACAATATTCTTTTCATCTTCCCTGCACTTCGCAGTTGTTAATTAATCCCACAGCACCCAGGGATTACTAGTAACACTTTCCAAGGAAAGCAGAAACGAGCAAGAGGAGGTCAAATGACGGGGCCAAGGTCACGGAGGAAATTTTGTCTAAAGAATATTAGGTTTTGCAAGATTAAAGTGGTGTTAACTGGTCTGTCCTTGGATATCAGACTCCATTTTGGGGTGTTTCTGGGGGGGTAGTTTTGATACTGTCTCGTGTATTTAGAGATCCCCTTTCATTTCTTCCCTTCAGTACATTTTTTTTTGCTGGGGCAAACGCAGGACAGAGGAGTTTTGTCTTCAGAGGATGATGGAAAGTTTCCAAAAAGGGAGAATGTCTCATGTTCTGGAACCTTTATGCACTGTCTTTTCATTACGAATTACAAATGGGGGCACCTGACTAATGAAATTATTGGTTTTTTTTTTTTTCAAAGTCATTGCAAAGCTCCAGATACCCAGTTCATTTTAAAAATAAGAGACTTGCTTGTCTGGCACCCACGAGCCTTTTTGGAAGGTCTGCACCGATAATAGCAATCCCATAACTTATCTGACAGTAACTACTGCAAGTATAGAATACGCTCACGGTGTTTTCTTTTTCCTAGGACTTGAAAGATGACCGGAGCGATGAAGAGGAGGAAGATTCTGTTACAGATACTGAAGAGGAGTCCACAAAGAACGGAAAGAACGGCTGTGGGTCAAGCAAACATCTCCTGAACAGCAGTCACCACTAGCTCCGTCCTGCCCTACCTCCTGCAGTGATTTCTGCTCGGTTTTTAACCCAACCTACAGGATAGCATTTAAGTCAAAAGGCTTACGAGAGACTGTGATTGATTTATTGTTGGCTACCGGACCTGGAAAAAAGCCCAGTTGAGAGGGGAGGAAAAAATTGCATAACGTGACAAAATGTGTTAGTGTGCCACTATCTGAATCGTTGCAAAGTGTTTGGAAAGACGTTGGGGCACACTGACCAACAGTGCTCAGCAAGGTCAGAGAGCGTCAGATCATTTAGCGTCCCATGGATTTTAGTGTTGTTTTTCAATCTGATGTAAGATATATTTCACCAAGCAGTTTAATTCACAGATGTTTTGTGGTAGGTAGGTAGTGTGAACTCCATTAGGAACCAAGATTATTCAATGTGGGAAAAATTTGACAGTGGTATACAGTGACTGGCATTTTAGTCTTTACTTATCGGTTCAAGCCCTCATCAAAATGGCTATTTTTTGTGAGTTTGATTTCATTTCCTGGAGGCCAGTGGAAGGTAACAGGAGGAAGTCAAATTACCTGCCTGTGAAGAGCTGGCTTCGCTGCAGAAATACAGTCTTTCTCCAAAATACGCTGTATGATAGACAGCTCAAATACTGTGTTCTCAGATTTAGATTCACCTGTCAGGGAAGTCACTGTTAAAATAGCAAAACTCAGCCTCGATATTTCCATTGACCTCCAGGTCTCAGAAATATCTTTCATCTCAGTTTTTGGCCTGGTGTTAAAACAGAAGGTGCAGTGGGGAGGGAAGACAGTGAATGAAAATTGGGCCTTCTCACAAGTTCCTTTACACTTCTTAGTTGTTTAAAAATTGCTGAACACCCCCTGCTCCTGACACCTCTACAGCCCAGAAGATTAAGAATAAATCTCATCCATTCCCTTCTTGGCAGCTTGTCTCACGCAGCGGCATTGGATGGCTGTTTTCTTAGGAGTGAGCCTGCTAAATTCTGCCCTGTGGTTCCTGTGTGCCTCTCTGCGTGTATCCGGGCACTGAGGGAGGGTGGGACCCACAAGGGATGTCACAGCATCCGTGCTGTGTGTTCATTTGATATCAGGATCTGTATTCCCATCTCTGCTCTTTTTGAAAATTGGGAATCACATCGGCTAGAGCCAAACTTGGACAGGAGTGTATGACTTAAGCCACGTAGGGTTGTTTATGCTGTAAGAAGTGGAGGAACAGTGGATGTTTTATCAGCTCCTCTTACCAAAAGTGCTTCTATCCCAAGCTTGCACTTTTGCTTTAACGCCAGTGCAGAGTACAGCGGCATTTTTAGTCCCAGGGCTTTCCAAGGAGAGCCTGGACCTTTTAAACAGGGTGGTTCCAGTCTCATTTCCAGATGCATTAGCTCACAAGGTCATAAATGATTTGTGTCATAAGTTTTAGAGGTGAGAGGCTCTCCGTGTGGTTCTACAGTAGCTGAGATCATCTGGTGAACTAAATCCAGTAGCTTGCTGGAGGCCGGGGGGACTGCTGCTAGAGCAGCCTCAGTGCTGGGCTTTTGGTTCAGAAAAGGTTCTTTTCCCCTTAAGGCTGCTCAGGCAGGAACTTGGTGACCTACAGGAAGCACTGTATGACTGACTTGTTTTCTCAAGATTTCTTTGGCAAAGGGGGATATAATTCAGTGACTGAAGCATTTGAAAGAATGGGAAATGTTTGGGATCTCAGATATGAAGAAAGAAGTGTTTTCTGTGCAGTTACAAGGAACTGTAGGAGTACTTTGTTACAGAGGCTGGTAGTGTGAAAATATCTACGTATGGTCTGTTGAACCAGGCTGTGTTTAATTTTTTACTTGTATTTTAGACCATGTAATACCCCAAATGTTGTTGTTTTACCACAGAGAGAATTACACTGAGAAAGGAGTATGGCTTACAGCTTCTGAGAAGGAAGGGAAAGGTGCAGTGGTGGAACGGGACTCCTGAACCTGCGGTTGCAGTTCAGTGGTGCTGCTTGGGCTGAGCGGGCAGAACTCCCTCGGTAGTTGTTGTATAGCAGTGCGCTTCCTTACACAGCTGTGGAGAATACCTTAAATGCTGCTGTGAGGGTTTATTGGAAGTGTAAGTACTTATTACATCATCTAAAGCAACTGGTGAGTTTGGCAGGGTCACAGTTGCTTATCGGGGCCTGTTTATTGCCTACATGAAAAGAACTGGCCTTTCCTCACAAAATGTAGAAACCCGACGTCTTGGAGGCTTTACACTCCCTTTGAGAGCAGTGGAGACAACGATGCTTTCTACAAGACATAACAGGGTTTTGGGAGATGGCCAGGGTATTATCATTTAATTTTGATGCCAGAAAGCTTTCCTGCTATGACTAGGAAAGGAATTCGGGAAAGGAAACACAAAGAATGATGTTGTCACAAGAGTGAGCCTCTGAACAACTACTGAGTTTTAAACTGGAATTTATAGTCTCGTTGAGGCCAAATCTTGCCCTTCCTACTTGGAGAAGTCTCCCACTGAAGCCAATTAACTCTACTGGAGTTTTGCCTAGGAAAAATTTTGGATTGCAGTTATCCAACCTAATTACAAGACCTGTTGTTTTAAATCGGTGTGAAGCTAGGGTCTTAAAGGAAGAGTAAAAGGTAGATAAATACATTCAAACATAAAATATTGAGGCAAATTTGAGTGAGTACAGAAGAATATGGAAGAAAATAATTTTCTGAATGTAAAAATTAAGTCTAAGCACAGTAAACGACCAAATAACTACATGGCATTGCAGTTAGGGGTATGGACGGAAGGGAGGGCATGAAAGGCCCTTCCTGGGGTTACTGTCATGGCCAAAGTAATGAAACCCAAAAATTCTGACCGTACACCACTAGGTACTGGGGCTAAATACCCACAGCTCAGAAAGGAGTGGGAACAGACTGTCCCAGTGGGACTGGACACAGGTCCTATGTTAACATCAGATTTGTCATTCCTGAAGTTACGTGTGTTTCATTTCTCACTTTTTACTGATAGAAACTCAGAAATAAGATGTTGAGGCCATAAGGAACACAATCCATGAATAATTGATAAAGAAATTAATGACATGGTGCTTCAAGATTTTCAGTGTATTCAATGCCCTTATAAATTTTTTTGCATCTTATTGTGAAAAAAGTCCCAAAGTGCAAGTGCAGAACAGTTGTAAGTCAGGTATATGAACACAGATGATAGACTCCAATACATTATTTTTACCATTTCACAAAATGGGTCCTGATTTTATGATCTGACCCTGTGCAGCTGGCTTTGTTATGTCACTTTGACCATGCCAAAATATTTAGGATAGAAGTATAGACCAAGAATGAAATCTTAGTCTGTGAGACTCAGCAGAAACTCTTCTGTTCCAATTAATTTCTCAGAATTTTGTTCAGAAATTCCTGTCCATGTGTACTATGCTGCCTCTGTACTTGTTTACTACAGAGATTTACCAGTCTACTCTGGATTTGTTTTACGGATCTCCTTTATTCCACAGAACTCATTTTGTCAATTTATATTATTCAGTATAATTATCTTTTTTTGTTCTTAGTGCCACTGAATTTGTCTGTTCAGTTAGCTACAGACTATAAATAAATATTTTTAAAGAACAGGTATCTATATAAGGATTTCCTCGTCTTCCCCACCTTGCAGTGCCCTCCTCTCCACTTTCCATTCCTTCCTAGCTTTCTAGCGAGGGCCTGTTCAGGAACTAATTTCTTATTCTTCCAAGTTTTTCCTGGAAAAGGCTGGATGACCCATACCCTTCTTAAGAGGTACCAGCGATTGCTGTAAAGGGACTTGTGTTTTCATGGACAATTCATGAATGGAGAGGAAGCAGAATGAATGTGTGCATCATCCATTGTTTGTATTTAAGATTTATTTATGTTTTGACTAAAGTACTTGAAAGTGGTCCTATGTACCCTAGGAACTACTCACTCTAGAATGCCAACGTGTTTTTGTATCTTAACTTGGTTGTTTTTTGTTGTGTGTATTAGGGCTGCTTATGAAACTAAGTGTATTTGGGGAATGTTAGACTAATATGCAAATACCAAGGTAATTCTGGTTTTTCCCAGGAGTGCTTACATTTATACATGGTGCTGTGGCCCAGTTACACTGTGGTGGGATTACTACCGAAACGCCTCCTCATAAGCACACTCCAGACAACTCAGATGTGGATCTTAAACTGGCAAAGGCAGGAAAGCTCTACTGGAAACAAGGGAGCTGTGCTGATTTGTATCAGCAGAAAAGCTGTTCCATATTTCTTATTCTTTCCATTTCTGCCTCCCTAGTTGGGAATATCACAGAGATTCTGATTTGCCATCTCTTCCCGTGGGCAAACAAACATAAGGGAAGGTGTTTCAGCCCAAATAATGAACTGAGCAGAATACTTTGGTTTTATTATCTGAATTCATTTTTTAAGCTTATGAGTAAGAATAAAGTAGATGGAAAACAAATCGAACAGGGATATGTGAGTTTTGGCTACAAACAACTTGCAAACTGTGAAGAATAAAAAAAAAAAAATCTTGCTGATTTAGAAAGAAAAACACCATCTCCACAGGCGCTTCCCCCAGCTGTGGGTTTGAAGAACAACAGACAACCAGTGGGCAGAAATGAAAGTCCATGCTGAGAATAAGAACACAGCGCAGTTGTGAAAATGCCCAGGAGAGGTGGCTTGACGGCCGCTAGCTGCCCGAGAGCTGGGGAGCCTTTCCACAGAGCAACAAACCAGTCAAGAACGTACCTTTGAGTGGTTTCATCAGTCGTGTCCAAAATCACTGGAAATATCTGTTCCCGTTTCCCGGTGAGTTTTACGGGCTCCCTCCTGCTCTCTCTGTGCCACAGAGCCAGGGTTTTGTTTCTTGCCTCTAGAGTTTGAGCTTTGGCTGCCCAAGGTGTGGACCTTGAGGAGGATAAACACCTCTGACTTGTGGAAGGTCTCACAGGACATCTGTATGCCCACTGAGAATGTGATTTCTGCTTACAAAATTTATGAACTCTGTGTGATGCCAGTGCTTTAGGGAGAGAGAGTAACCAGGGGGTGCCAGACAGCAAGGCAGCACTGTGAGTGACGAGAGAGAGCTGAGCTCTCCTGAGCAGAGCCGCGTGAGTAAGGAGAAGAAAAGTCAGCAGAGGGCTTGGCCAACTCACTGCACAGGTTTTTCTTACAGACGTAGGTGTAAAAGACTCATCTAAAGGCCACTTTCTCCAGCTCTTTAGCGGGGAGCATTCTCTCTCCCGCTGTCTCCCTGTTTCTGCAGGATGCTATTTGGTTTGTGGAAGTTGCCAAGCAAGGGCAGAGCAGTCACCGCTCACCGAGCAGCCCGCACCAAAAGCTTGAGAGGCGGATACCAAACGAGCAGCCCAGGGTAATCCTCCCCTGCTCTGGTACGAGGCAGAGGTAAGTTCACGCTCTGAAACAAATTTTAGGGGGAGGAAGGGTGTTACCATGAACGGTTGCAGCTCTCGATGTTCTTGCTGCTCACGTGTACCACAACCAGCTGCTCTGTGCTGCAGGGGTCAGGCACACCTTGAGTGAGGAACTGAGTTCAACCTTAGGCTCATTTCTTTGCTCTCCCACTTCCCAGCTCGTGTTTGCCATCCTGCCACTCAGGTCTTTGGTCACCTTCATTGCTGCTTAACCTCATCAGCAGAGATTTCTCCCTGCCCTGTCTCTGCTCCAACCTGTAGTAGAAGCAGTGTTTGCATATCCTGCTAAGGTAGCACACATGTCTACTGAAGTGTAAGCTCTTTGGTATATCACACGAGAGGGGAAACTTTACAAAGTACCGGGACATAATGAGGGAGAGGGGAAATCATTGCCCAGAAAGCTGGGATTCCTACAGGAAAAAAAAATAGTTTCACTTTCTGTCCTGTCATCCATGTGTGTTAAGATTTTAAGCAGCAGAGAGGAGGTAAAGCCCTGACATTAATCCCTTG